ATCGAAATGCCTTTGCATTTTTCCAATTAAATGAAAAACCAAAACTCTTTTCAGAGCTCATTTGCATTGTGAGTTAGAGGCTCTTGAAAATGATACAAATGATAATGCGTAATAATATCAACCACTCGCTGGCGAAACTACCAACGGCATCTTCTTTCGAGGGTTGCTTACTAGCAGACTGATTGTGGATTTGACTTCCCGACATTTGCCAATATTAGTTTATCGGCAAACTGGTTGAATTAGTTGTAGAAAAACTGGCTGTCGCGGTGGTGAAGTCGAAATCTCGACTTTCTGCATGAGATTCGTGCTACTTCCCACTTTGCCATGCTTGTAATTTTGCTAATAAAATCGAAGTTTCTACACACATGTCACAAAGTATAATTTTTAGTAACAGACTCATTAACTGAGGAGACAGAACAAATTGCATTTGCGCCAAAAAGAGAAGAAAATGAATGCCTACTTATCTAAGAAGTAAAAAACTATGATGCTGAAGTGCAGCATTTTTTAGGAGACCTGTATCCGGTGCAGTTATCGAAACGCCGTAAACGCTCCCTTTCGCCAGTTACTGATTATGAGAGTGACTTTGACGTGCAGTTTATTGTTGAAACGCCATCCAGGTAATTTTCAGCTTGATTTAAGCAATCTACTCAGTTTAGGCCTTTTTCGAATTCTATGAACAGAAACTATATGTAGCATACTCCACAGCCAGCATTTCACACGCCTTTGTTGCAAACTTGCAAAACTGAGTGGTTTGCAATATATTGACTAATTTCTAAGAAAATTTGCTTTTTTTCCTGTGAGCTAAACTTTCAAGCTTTTGGCTCGGCCAAAACAAAATTTTTGGCTCTATGACTAAACGGAATTTGTGATCTTTGCTGTCCAAAAAAGATAACTAAGACATACAGTTCTTCCCTACTCCTTAATAAAGCATGCCGTATACAGCTAGTAGTTTCCTAATATATATTTATTAATTATACTGCTAAATAATCGTAAATTATAAAATTATTAATTGTCGAGCACAAAAGCATTTTTATGCGTTTTTGCCCCTATGCAATGCAAAATGCACATGTTGTAGATCTTTCGGAAAAAGTGCATATGCGATTCTTTATTTAAATTTTTGTGAAAAAGAAAATGTCCTCAGAACAATCCAAGCTAAGCTCTTGTTTCACAAGGCTTAAAGCATCTGTGAGATAACTGAAATACCGAAAAAGTTATTGCAGGAATGACGATAGTAGAGGACGTGTTTCTGAAACAATGGCTGTGCCGGCTCCAACATTTACAGCATCGGTTAGCTATGATGGTATGGATGACTGGGATTCAGCACAGGAGGAATCTGTTGAATCGCTGTCTGATTACCAAGATATTGAAGACTTCGATTCTGATGGTACGATCTTATCTGTGAATCTGTGGTTCGGGATTCCTGTCTGTTTAAATTCTCGTTTCCAGGATTTTCCAAACAGCCAGTCATGATATTGCGCAATGCAGATTCTAATGCTGCTTTCGTGACAGCCTTCTTAATGTTAAATTTAGTTCTCATGGTTTTACAAAACTCCCCAGGCATGGAAAATAATTGTTGGTTGGGCTACTGGTCGTTCGAAATCCTTGTTCTGAGGTCAGATCAATCAGGAATCGTCAACAGTAGGGCTTCGTTGAGAGTATACGTCAGAATCGTTTCCTGTTTTTAATAATTTGAATTTCACTTGTTTCGAAAGGCAACTAAATTACAAAGATTTATTATTTGCTTCAGAAGGAGGCTGCCCGCGCGTGAGGAGTCGTCCAGGTGCAGACGATTATCGTCCGTCGTCCTCAAGTCTAGGAGTTTATTTCAGCCCTGCCTCGTTCTCCAGTGATGACGTAAGTCAAGTGCTTATAAGTTTTAACAAAAAAAACTTGACGAAATGCAGAATTTTTAATTTAATTTAATTTGACCGATTGCAGTATGATGGAACTCTGTATCGGGACAATGTAGATGTTGGATGCACTTTGAAGCTCGTCCAAAAAGCAGCAATGAAAGGCACTGACGATGATGATTCTTCTAGCGAATATTATGATGATTCGGAGGTGGGTTTAGGATGCTCAAAAAAGCTTGATTGAATTTTTTGTTCTTAACTGAGCAAGAAAGGCTTTCTTAATTGTTACGATATTGAAAATTCAATTTTTTCAGAGTTTTTTCAACTAAATTTCAGAAAAATGTCTATTTTTAACAATTTCTTCAGTTAAAAAAACTTACCAACTTTAAGCAGAATCATCGATTTATGAATTTTTTTCATTTAATTTTCATTATATACCAAATAGATTTAAATTGCCAATACATCCATTTCAAATAAATTTTTTGATCCAGAAAAATTATAAATGCTGGATCGGAACTTTCTAAGTTATCTTTTAAGATTGTGCTAATCCTTTTATCGTAATACGACACCGATTAAGAAGATTTCTTATTACAGTATGATGAGGATGAGATGTACACGGAGGCCGAAGAAGAGGAATATACGGGAGAAGACGAGGAAGTTGAGTATGAGGAGGAGGAACTGGAATGCATGGAAGGAGAGGAGAATGAACTCTGTGATGATGACAAGGTGCCCACTGCTGAAGATGCTTCTCCTTCCGAACAGCATTTGTGTTCCTCTGCTGAAACTGTATGTATGAATTAGCAGTTCACTGATAACTCTAGATAATTCGAGAAAATGTTACAAATAACTGTGGACAATTTGAGAAAATCCCGCGGATAATTCAACAAAATCCTGTGAGTAACCAGGATAATTCGAGAGTATCTCTTCTTAACTCTCATTTTAAGCTGGAAGAGCTGAAAGTAGCATTTCAGTTCTCTAATAACATCAAGAATTTTATGCTCATAATCTGGACGTTAAGCATTCTTGATATTTCCACAAGTCTTAATTTTTTTAATAAAATTTCAAATGTTTTTTTTTTCAAGCAGCCACCACCAATTCCACAAATAATGGTTGCGTCGGTGCTGGAGGAAGAAGTCAGCGCTGATGAAATTTGCG